TCTCCCCTCATCTATCCAGCTGGTCATTCCATCATAGAAGGCTATCAGGTTAGTCAAGCAAGATTTCCCCTTGGTGAATCCATGCTGACTACTCTTGAGCACCTTCTTGTCCTCCATGTGCCCGAAGACAACAGCCAGTATGAGCCGTTCCATCTCTTTTCCGGGGACGGAGGTGAGGCTGACTGGCCTGTAGTTGCCTGGGTCCTCCTTCTTGCCTTTTTTGAAGACTGGCATGACATAATATTATATAGATTGCATGGTTGGGTACCTGATGAAGAAATGCCAAACTTCTGATTGCCTGCTCAACATGAGTTTTCACCGTAGTTTCATTGATTGAAGCTTTTCTAGCAAGCTAATATTTTGGGAGGCATAGTGCTAGTGCACATTGGAATCCTTTTGATCCCATAAATCTAATCCAAAATAAATCTCTCTTCCCTTTATTACCCTTTGATTAGAGGTGTTATATTGTGTCACTCTTTTTCCAACTGATTACCATCTAGCATCACCCTTCTGTACCACATTATTTGTCTGACTCTATCCATGCACAAGCACACATTCAAGCTTCAGACAGTATAGTTAAATACTAAACTCATGCATTAACCACATAACTTTGAACGACATGTTGAACCTTCCTCAGCCTGCAAAATCCTTCCTGTGGCTGAGTTACATCAAAACTGCAGATGTCCTAGTGAAATTGCCTCACGCACAGATGCTGTCCCCAGTCACCACCTCATGGGCCACAGTGGTCATCCACCACCACCACTTAATGTGAATATTTAGCCGTATGTCCAGTTGCGGTCCTTTTTCTGCATAATGTGTGCAACATAGTCCTGACTGTCTCTGTTTATATGTCCAGGCTGAGATAACAGGCTCTTAAATATTAGAATGTAGTTAGAATATGATTAGAATATCTTTAGAAATAGGGATGAAGCAAGCTCATTTTAGTATGTCAGCAATAGGTGAAGAAAAGCTGAACTTTTTGTTTTGCTTCAGTCTTGGGCTGGCCATTCTTGAGTAGGGGGTTGGAGCAGATGGTCTCCACAGGTCCCTGCCAAAGCCACCCCAGACACTGTGAGTCTGGGCTGAGGTGGAGAAGCACCAATCTGGATACAGAGCTAAGCTATTTACCAAGATGTCTTAGAGGAAAATTTCCTGTCCCCTGGGAATTCATGTCAGATGTTTGCAGGATCGAGAATTTCATGATTTCTTAAGGTTTGATTTATCTGGGAAAAAAAAAATAATTCTCAACCTCAACAGCCAGAAAAGAACCAGAAGTGTTCAAATGCCTGAAAAAAGCATTAAAACAACTCATGCTCATTTAAAAAGGGCTGTGAATCCAAGAAATAACTCTCAGATCTCAAGTGATAGCTCTGCAAGGTTTACTCATCCCTAATTGAAATTAAATCTGGCAGAGCAGGAGGGTTAGCATGGTGATGACCTAATCAGCAGAGGAGATAAAAATGTTTTTATTGCCACTTACTAGGTAGCCAAACCTGTATGGTTTCATTATAAATACTGACTTATGCAAGATGATTAAATTCCATTACATATTTATTTACCCAAGGTAATTAAACCCTAAATGCTACTTAACAAGAAAAAGTACATCAAGTGAATGACATTGCTTGCATTTTTTAAAATCATTGCATTTTTTATTTAAAATCATTGCATTTTTTAAAATCATTGCATTTCATAGCATTTCAATTGCTATTGAATCACTATTTCAAATCACACTTTTCAATTAAATATTCCATTTTGAAATATATCTTTGTTCATCTTTAAATGTAAACAGTCTGAAAACACAAAACTAGAAAGTCTTAAGGTATCCTAAACATTGTTTCTGATTTTTTTTTCCAGTTTGAGCAGTGAATTTTGGAGAAAATGCTACAAGATAATATTTGGACATGAAATGTTTTCAAATGTCATTCTATTGCATTGGTTAAAATAAAATACAAAGTTCTATAGAGCTTCACTGATGAAAGATGTATTTTTACCCATTATACAGGGCCCCATTCATATTAGTGCTGAACTAATAAAGATCATAAGAACGGTTTTTAAATGCTCCCTTTGAGACTGGTGAATGTTTTACACAGTAACTGGGGATTATTGTTCCTAATCAGGATCACATCATTAGGATCATATTTTAGTTATTTCCCCTTAATGTACAGCAGTCTTTGTGTATGTGTGTGTGTCTGAAGATTCCACTTAACAGTCTACACAATTAGCCTTGATAAGCCCACACAAAGTGCTTCTGTTTTAAAAGAAGACAAAGAATGTGTGTCTAAACTGACTGTTTAGTGGGAAGCTTAATCTCCAAACTTACATGAAAAGAGGATGTACAGCTGAGATTATAGTTTGTCTTTGTACATTATATATGATTTAGCAGAAAAATTAGCTCTGAGGTAGATGAAATGCATGTTGATTATTGGTTTCATTTTTTCTAAATAAAATCATAGGACTTGTCATTTGCTGTAGGAGTGTGATTTTAGGTTCCTTTCTGATGGTACTCAGAAGTTATGTTACTTTCCTCTAAGGAAAGAAATTCAATGTTTTTTTTTTTTTTTTAGTCATGCCCATAGTCCTTGACTCTTCATCTTGACAATGATATTTGAAAGTAGCAGAGAGATGGCAGCATAAAATACTTAAGAGTGTTCTTCCCCTTCAAACAGGAGTGAAGAGCCTGTCAGTTTGGGTCAATGGCATGAG